CTTAAAATTTTAATTGCAACTAAGGCCTTTAGGGTTATAGAGTAATATCATATTATATTGGGCACTTTTTCTAAATATATTTGTTTTGAGAGCCTCTAATAATATTTTTCTTATTTTTTACATAGGGTTAATATATAATTTGGACCTTAAATTATAAGTTAAAGGACAACTTAAATTCTAAACTCATATTTGATACATTTTGAATCCTAAATAATTGAACTTAAAATAATTTTACTCCCACATTAAATTAACACAAATGTTCGTTTCTTTTTAAGAAAATGGGTCTTGATGTGCAATTTCCTTTAAATTCCACACTCATGCCCAAATATTCCAAATTTCTGTGCAGAGAAGACGAATCTACATCCACCGGCCGGCGTCTGACAATAGAAAGACTACGAGAATGATGGATGGTAAAGGGAAGAGGAGAAAGAGCCGTCATCAGTGTCTCCTCAAGCAAGTCGTCCCCAAATACGACGATGACGTGTGGTTCATGGCCACCACGGTGGCGCTGTTCCCGCCGGGAATCTGAACAAGAGCGGGTCCTCATAACCACATAACATAGAACTGCCACTCCCACACCAACCATGAAGTTCTTTTTCATGATACCCAGTGCCAGACATGGTAGAAAGACATTGGGCGTACCCACCTCGAATCCAGGTTGTGATTGTGCTGACAAGTTCATGGACATCAATGCAAATGCTTCGAAGTAAATCAATCTCAATATAATGTGCTCCGGCGTCCCTTCTCCCCTGTTTTCCCCTGTTTGCTTCGGTCTTCATGATCAGATTACAGAGAGGTCAACATCAAAACCAAACAAGCTGCTTTTGTCTTCAAGGAAGGAAATCGCTGCCGGAAGTAGTTTGCAGAGAGCATGATGACAGAGAACGTCAAGCTCGCAATGCAGGACACTACAATCTTCAACAAGTTCCATGGCTCAAACAATCCCACTGTACTTGATGGGTCCTAGCACAGCTTCAAACAGCTTCACTTTGTCAAATCCATTATCCTTCAACAGCGGCATCTGGCAGACAAGGCAAAATGGATTAAATAACGGACATTTATTTTGATTTAACAGTAGGATGAAATTATTCCAAATTAAATTGTTTAAGATTCAAAATGGATTAAATACGAGTTTAAAATTTAAATCATCCTTAAACATATAATTTGATTCAAATTGCAGAAATATATGTGCCGTGGAAACTGATTGAAGCTAGCTAAGGGTGAGTGGGAGTTTTTAGATAAAACAATCATTTGCAAGGACAGGTTATCATATATGTTCTGATTAATGAATCAACTAGTGGTATATGAATTTACAATCTTACAATCTTGATGACTCGGAAAAATCCAATGGCAGTAGTCCTTAGACTATAAAAGATAACAAGTTATATACTATTCTTGATTTCGTATATTTTGTTGATCGTGAAATCATTTGGCTAGCTTATGATATTTATATGAAGGTCTAATACGGTTTTGTAGCCTCTTCATACCTATTTAACAAGTTATATACTATTCTTGATCTCGTTCCAAATATGTCCAATTTCATCTGTTCATTTGTTTATTATGGTATTAAACTAAATGTATTATTCATTATCATTACGTAGATCCCATTTTTTAAGATTTTTAATAAAAAAATACGTTATTTTTTTATAAAAAAGTTATATTTTGTGAAATTTTATAATATTTGCAGACTTCTAAAAATAATTGAAATCTACACATTTTTTTTATTATTTTGAAAACCTACTTTAAATAAATTTTAAAAATGATCCAAAGAATTCTATAAAAATGCAAAAATATACAAAGTTATTATAAAATTTTTAAATAACGAAATAATAATTTTTTTATAAATAAAGATTCACAAATATATCATAAAATTTAAATAATAATTACTTTTTATTGTTACAACCGAACATAAAATAATATTTTTATAAACCCTATAAAATTTTTTTAAACTATCTAAAAATTACTTACTTTTTAATCTTAAAAAAATGATGCCTGAAACGCTTTTGAAAATAAAATTACAATGCTTTTTCTATGGTATTCATTAAATGAATAATTTAATTAATTTAAGTTCATAACTAAAATTTTACACTATTAAACTAAATGAATAGTTAAATGGATGTTTGTTGGGGGAAAAAGAAAGGAATAGTTAAATGGATGGATATGGATCAGGTAGCTGGCTATGAACCATGTAGAGATCCAAGTCCAATCTAATGCTATTTTTGCTCATCAATTCAATTTTTAAATTAGCATCAATTATTATTATTATTATTTATTCAAATTTCAAATATTTGATTTAACAAATCATAAATTTCTCCAATGTTTGATTATGAACATATGTTATAATCAAAACGTTCCGTGCAACTAAATTCTGGGACGATGCACCGAAATTTACAATTGCACCTTGCTTTTTAATATACACTCGCGCGCGCGCTCTCAAATAAATTCTATGTGCTACATAGCATCAATAAGCCGAGTATGGTTCCTTATAATAGATATTTTTATTTGTATTTTTTTGATGGTCAGAATAAATATATTTTATCTTATAAAAATATCAATTATACCTATATATATGTAGAGATATCGAAGATTCATGTATTTTGAATTAAAAAATAATTGCATTTATCATGTTTATAAATTTATAATCATTTTCAGAAATAAAAATAGTTAATTTATCTAATTTCATTAAATTTGAGTTAATTTTATCATTTAAAAATATATATAAACTTATAAAATAACAATTATCATATCAAATCAAATATAATAATTAATTTTTTGATAAAAATTATTGCTACTACTATTATTATATTATTTATTTTTATATTTAATAGACTATACTATATTCTAAATTATAAATTAAATATGATAACCCAAATCTAAAATTTCAATCAGAATGAAAAGATAGGATAAACATGATTTATTTTCCATATTAGTTAAATTGAAGTACGTCAATTCAAATCCCCTCTATAAATACAGGCCAGCGTGCATACAGTATACCCCTTACAGTCACCTACACCAAAGAAGGGGACATCTGAAAGTAATTTGTAATTAGAGGTATTTATCGGCAACAAGAAGCTTTTAATTTATGTTTCTTAGTCATTAAACTGTTTGCTTTTATTTTATTTTATCCTTGAACTCTTATGACTAATACCTTACTCAATGTTAAAAAAAAAAAACCACTGCCAAAGTAGTGGCGACATTTGTTTTGGCGGTGCTTCTAGAAAATGCCAAGCTCATCTTTAGGAACGTTTTCTAAAGCCAAAAAAAAAAAAAAAAAAACGAAACATCCTGAAAGCATCATTTTTTTGTAGTGATCCAAACATTTATATATGATTTGATGAGTTACCATCACATGGCTATGCAAAATTATTTGTTATGCTCAATGTGTATCTAATATTTTATCTTTCTTAAAAAAAGTAGATAATAAATAAACACTAGCTTTATTGTGTTTTTAGTGGGGTTGCACAGAGGACTGACCCAATAGAACTTTCACCTAACTCAAAGTCTGATCCTTTTTATGAAAAAATTGAATTAAACAACCCGTGGTTCGGTTTGATCCTAGTATAACTCAAAGTTGAACAAGACCGGTCTGGTCCAATAGGATTAGGAGGTTGGTCTTGATCTTGTTTAGTATCTCACTTTATTTTTTTTTCTTTTTCATCTATGAGAGGTAGTAATTTATTTATTTGAACATAATAAATTCAATTGACATAATAAAATTACTTAATAGTCATGAAAAATTTATCACAGCAATTATAAATCTACAATAATCTCTAACAAAACAAAATATTTCAGTTATAACATAAATGATTCAAATTAAATAACCTTCAATAATATTAAACAACCTTCAACATGTCTAAAGTTCATTATATCAAGTTAACAATAAATTTTACTAGTAAAAGAAGAAAAATGAGGTTGGTTAATGCTAAAATTTTGCTCAATATTTATAACTTCATGAGTATAAAACACAAAAAATTACTAATTATTATTATAAATTAACTCATTGTGATAGTGATTAATAAATTTATTATAATTATATTAAATAAATTTATAGGATCAAATTGAACTAAGTGTTATAGATGCTCGGTCTCTGGTCCAGTCAAATCTGAAAAAAGAATTTGATCTTTTGGTCCTGATAAACCAAATTTTATCTAGAATGGATAGGATCAGTTTGTCTCGAGTTGGATCAAACTGAATTAGATTGGAGGATTTTTACATAGCCCTAATTTCTAGCTTTGTTATGCTTTTTTGTTGGATTATTTTTTGTCTTGGTAGACGTTGTGTGCCTATTTGTTTCAGTTTGGAGTGAAGTGTTCCTTGAGTCCAAAACACGCACACACACACACACTAGCTTTTTATTTCTTACTTATATAGTATGATGTAATTTACATTTTATTTATTTTAAATTTTACGTTATAAAAATCTTTTAATTATACGATGATAATTAAATTTTTCTCACCAGAATAATGTTCTATGTGATGCTTCGTAGTTCATCAAGCCATTAATTTATACATTTACATATATATATATATATTTAAAAAAAAATTCGACCTTAAGTTACATATAATCATATCATCATGTTCATTCTATGTTTTCAATTTTATGAAAAGAAAATTAGACGATAAATATATGCTAATTCTTTATGCTTAAAGAGATATTTGTGAGGTAACGTAAACATTCTTTTATATATTTTATTAATTGAGTTTTTTCCCTGAATCTAAATGCTCAGTTAAGTTGGAGAGATGCAAATCATTCAATTAGATCGACAGCTTTCATGTATCTCTTTGAACTCTCAAAGCAACATGGAGGAGGAGGAGCAAAGTAATCATTGGCAAGATCTTATCCAAGAAATTTCAGAATCAATTTTAAGAAGATTAAGTTTGAGAGACTTCTTAAATTTTGGCTTAGTTTGTTCATCTTGGCTGACTAAACTTGATATCGCCATCACAAACAAACAATGCCACCCTATGCCTCAAATTCCTTTACTTTTATTTTCTCCTACCATGGAATCTTTCGATTCCATTTTCTTTGATCCAAACAACCAAACCGTTCTTCATCCTAAATATCAATCACATCTTAGAAGCAAATTGGTCCTCTGTGCAATTGATGGATGGTTATTAATGTTTGATACAACGAAAGAACACTATTTACCTTTCTTCTACAACCCTATCTCAGGTGCCAAGGTTATGTTACCATCACAGATTCAAGGTCAAGATCAGGATTACTTTCTAAACACTGCAAGAGTTGAGGCATCTTCTGCACCACATGATAATTGTCATCATGACTCAATTTATATTGCAGGTCTTATGAATGATTATTGTCATATTATTTTTTGTAAAATAACAAGCGAGTCATGGGGTGTCATTGAAGCAGATGAAGAGTGCAATTTTTTAGACATTACCGTCATTGGGGACTTGTTATATGTTCTGATTGATCAAACAGAACTAGACATTGAAATTTATAATCTTAATGACGTAGATAATTTTGACGACGAAAATGCTCCTGAAGCTCAGAAACTACTTGTCCTCGACCCAAAGCCAGAAATCAATAGAATGATGACCAGGGCAGAACATGGTGATTATCTATGTTTCCACAATTATGAAGCGATTTGCTTAGGTTATGATGTTGTTTCTGAAGACCTAATAATAGTCGTGATCTTATATCACTTAGCATATTTATTCGACCATTTGGTATGCCATGATATAAGAGGATTTAGAGTGCTGAAATTGGACAGAACTATAGATGATGGGATTCAATTGGTGGAGATTCAAGACCTGGGTGATCGTTTGATATTTATGGACTACAGGAATTGTAAGGTGATTTCTACTATCAGTTTACAAGAAAGTTTCAGAAGAAATTGCATCTATTTTGCAACTTTCAAGAATCCAGAATTTTATGGATCATGGAAAATGTATTCGGGTGTCTTCTGCTTGTCTGATAAGAGCCTTCATTTTTATAAACCAAGAAAATTAAATAGCTATGCTCTAATAAAGTATCCTGCAGTTTGTACGTGGTTTATGCCAAGTCTTTTTTAGTTTACCATTTTTATATCTGAGATTGAACAGTTATTTATTTTTGTGATTTTTATGTGGGTATACTTTTTCCCCCCTTAATGCATGCCTAGTTATTGATTACTTGATAGAGTTTAATTCATAAGAAAAAATTGATAACTCTTGCCTTCTTAATTGATTGTGGGAAAGTTATAATTACATTTCTATCAAATAGTTTTATTAACTTAGTTGATTGATCAATTTATTAGGTATTAATTATATGAAAGTAATAACGGATTGAATGATGTAACGCATAACAGAACCTTAATAATTCAAACCTGATTTGAGTTCTTTTTTCCCCACTGACTCAGAGAGCTGTTTTGTTCTTCTAAAACAGAACTGCACCTCTACAAGACACTTAATTTAATGTCATTAGATTATTATGAATTTATGATTATGATTGTTCTAATTGCTTGTTTTAGTAAAAATATTAATATTAATATGAATTGAAATGAACTGCTAAAATATTAATTAAAATCAACTTGAAATTTCATTCAGGTTTTGAATAATCATATCACATTAACATTTTAAAAATAAATGATAGGGTGTCAAAGTTATAAACAAAGCATTCAATATATATTGAAATTTAAAATTTTTGGCATGTTATAATGGTGGCCAAATTTGAAAATTCAAAACATTAATAGTGATGAGCTCAAATCAAAATTAAAAATTTTAATTGAATTGAAATACAAACTCTTGATCTTGGATGATGTGCGTGCATGGATTATTTAAATTGTCGTCGGATATAAATCTTTTCATATAGAGTAATTAATATTGGATTTAGATTTTCTAATGCTAAGTTTGAATACATGAAATTTGAATTTAGATTTTAAACTAAGTCCCCATTTGAATATATAAAAGTTTATGGATTTGGAGAGATGTTTTTATTATAATTTTTTTATAATTTTAAATTCTCTCTATATCCTAATTGTTTAAATTTTTTAGTTATTTTTTTATTTTCTTCACTTATGAATCGTAGAGGTAAATTCATATCACTTTTAAGTCTCAATCTTTCATTTCTATTTTGAATTTCAAATTTTCTTTCTTTTACCTTCAAAACTTTTTGTACTATTTAAACAAATGATTTTAAATACATAGGTTTTAATTAGTGGGAGATTTTAAATTTAAGATTAAAATTTAAAATTTAAATCTATCAATCTAAAATACTACCTAAAGTTAAAAATATGTGAATTGCACAAACTTTTCCTTTTTAAGGGATAGAAGATTTTATGTTTTAACAAAAATAATAAAATAAATGAAAATATTAAAAAAAATTTCACATAAATTCATGAATTTCAATTTCAAACATGAAACTATTTAAAATTTACATAAATCATAGTATTCGAGATTGATAACCTGGTTACAGCCTGAGGAAGACTAAACTAGAATAAAAAAACCCATTTGGGAATATAAAAGTTTATGGATTGGATAGATATTTTTATAAATTTTTTATAATTTTAAATTATCTCTATATTCTAATTATTTAAAATTTTAATTATTTCTCATTTTGTTTACTTATAAATAATAGAGGCAAACTCATCACTCTCAATGTTTCATTTTTACTTTGAATCTCAAATTGTCTCTCTTTTACCTTTAAAATTTTTTATACTATCTAAACAAATGATTTTAAAATGTGTGATTTTAAATTTAAGATTAAAATTCAAATTCATCAATTTAAAATGCTACCTAAAGTTAAAAATACGTGAATTTCACCAACTTTTCCTTTTCAAGAGATAGAAGATTTTATATTTAAAAAATAATAAAATAAATGAAAATATTTTAAAAAATCACATAAATTCATGAATTTCAATTTCAAACATGAAACTATTTAAATATTTTTAATGGATGACTAGCGAAACTAAGAAGCCAAATCATTGTATTCGAGATTGATCACCTGGTTACAGCCTAAGGAAGATTAAACTAGAATAAAAATCAATGTGATGAATGAGTTTTCTAAACAATAATTCTAACCAATGTTCGATCATCAATTTGATCTTATTAAAAAAATATAATTATATCTGGGTTGTCCAATAATTTTAAAAAAAATACATAAAAATGAGTATGACGTATTAATTCAAAAACTTAAAGGAGAGAAATATTAGTAAAAACTACAAGCATATTAGTATAGTGTTAATGTGTTTAGATAGACACTTCTCAAGGGTGGGTCCCAAGCATGAATGGTACGTTTTAATTCTCTATTTAACCGTAAAAAAAAAGTAATTAACTATAATTACTATGCAGTCTTTTATTTTTTTTTTTTACTTTGAATTCTATATAATCATCTAAAAACTGAACTGATCATTAAATTAATAAAGATAATGAATTAAGGGTTAATGGTATAATCGAGAGTCAATATAGAATCAAACCGATCTTAATTAAAATATTAATTTACATATATAAAAAATTAATATTTTTAATATGAAAAATTTAATATTTAAATAAATAAGAATATTCATTTAAAGTCAACAAATTCATAATTTAATATATTGTGATTTCGTCTCCCTCCACTTCCCGCCTGTTGTGCCTTTTCAATATTATAATATTAAAATTGAAGCCATCACGCGAAGAGAGGAAAAGGACCCTGACTCTACTCTACCACCGTCTGATAAGTAGTACCACTTAAGGCAAAACCTTACTTTGATTTCATCGTCTTCTTTCCTCCTCTTCTTTGGCCGCCTTGCGTTCTCAGTTCTCACTCTCACTGAACTGCAACATTTTGCCTCACTCTCAGCTCATCTGATGATTTCATCTTCATCGCAGATTTGACATTTTTGTAGCTGCAAACTTACATTTAAGGTGGTGTTTTAGTGTAAAATGCCTTCCTTTATTGATTTTTCCCCCTACATATCTCTTATCATTCTGCTCTTCATTTTATCTTTGCTGGTCTGAGTTTTTTAATATAACACGGCCAACCTATTGAGTTAGCCAGATTATATTGGTTTACTCCGAGTCAACCTCGAGTTGATTGGGTCAGTGCCAAGATGTTTCAGACGGAAAACCAGATCGGGAACGAAGCCGGTTGGAACGGTCAGTTCGGTCCGGTTGTTCATTCCATGATAATCATTGACATTAAAGTTTGGTCTTATTTATAAGATCTTATCTATTAATCTTTAATACAAGATTCTTTATAGAAGTTAATGAAACAATTATAACTTGAGGGCAATTTTGAAAAGCTGTAGAATTTTTTATGTTTGGCTAATTTTTAATAATTCTTATAAGTAATTTAATTTAACCTCCCTTAAGAGTGTGTTTATAGGAGACACATGATTCTCTTATTTTTTATTTCATTCAAATTTAATAATTTTCAATTAAATTATAATTAATATCTGATCTAATCATAGAGAATAGTGGGGGAAGATCTTATAAGATATAGACGCTAAATTCCTGGATATTTTGTTATGTTGAATGGTAAACGTATAAATAGTTATTTAAAATATTTAAATATTTAATAATCATTATCATTAGTAATCTTTTTTTGTTCAATATCATTAGTGATGTTAATTGGTATACCAGCTTATGTTATTCAGATTTTATCAAATCCAAAAAAAAGATAAGATAATAAAACCTTGCTTTACCCAAAAAAAAAAAAGATAGTAAAGCGTTGGACTATTACAGAAACACATAGATTAATTAAAATAAAAAATCAAATCCATTCTATAATTAAAATCCTTGTCCCGCAGCCCTGTGTTGTCAAACAAGACACTCAGAAACAGAGATTGAATAGATTAATGATTGACAATTAGAAGGACTACAAAGTGTTTGGTATTCAGATGGATGAGGTACTTTTTATTTTCTCTTTTCTACTTTTTATTCTTGAATTCTTTCAAGCCAAAAAAAAAAAAAAAAGAGGAAGCATCTCTTGTTGTATACTTCAATCGGTTCTGTGTGAATTGAATGAGATTTATTATGATCAAACATCTATTCATTATGATTCTTTTCTGTGGTTATTCTTCTTATGATATATTTTCGTCTCTTTGTGATTGTTTTCAACCTTTTTTCATATCTTGTGTGCTCAGATTAATATGGAGACTCAAATTCAAACTTACGATGAATTGCAAAACAGCGCAAAAATGCATAACGTAGTGTATATGTAGTGAGTGGCAACATCTCACCTAAGATATTTCAGAATCAATTTTAATTAAGAAGATTATGTCTTGTTGACTACTTAAACTTTGGTTTGGTTTGTTCATATTGGAAGCTATGCTTAACATTGCCATTCAAAACAAACAATGTCATCCACATTCTCAAATTCCTTTTCTTTTTATATGCTTTAACCAGATATTTTCTAGCATGCGCAGATCCTTACTTCATTGAAGTAAATGAAAAGGAAATTCTCCATCCTAAAAGACGTCCAAATCCCACGAGCCGATCTGTTATTAGTTCAATTGATGGCTGGTTAACGATGGCCCAATTTGCAGAAACTTATCGTTTACCCTTCTTCTTCAACCCTGTGTCAAGAGCTATAGGGTTATGTTACCCTTTTTAATGGAAGATCTTGATTGTATGACCATCAAAAAGGTGGTGGCCACCTCTGCAACGAACAATATAGTCACCATGGTGACTCAATATTTGTGGCCTGTCTTGCTAACGACAGAATCATTATTGTAAAATAACAGACAAGTCATGGGCACTTTATTATATGTTCTGTGGTTCATAGATCAATATTAGATGAGATAGAAATTTATAGCCTTCTTGAGCTTGAACCTAAGGCTGAAAAACTTGTTGGTCCTTGATCCTAAGCCATAAGTTCATCAGAACATATGGTTTCAGAATAATGAAGAGATTCACTTAGCTCATGATGATACATTTTCTGGAGATCTAAAGCTCGTCGCGACCCGATATGTGACTCTTATTTGAATAGATCTTTATTTATATTTGGTACTTATTTTAGCTTCATAAAAGATATCAGAGTGATGAAGCTGGACAGAAGGAGTAGTGACCATGGTGGATTCGATTGGTGGAGGTTAAAGAGTTAGGTGGTGATAGTTTGGTGTTGTTTTATGACAAAAACTGCAAGTTAATCTCAACCATTGGTTTTCAAGAAAATGTTAGAAGGAGAAAAAATTGTATATATTTTGTAGAGGGGCTTGATATTAGAGTGTTCTGCCTATAATTATCTCATAAGAGGTTTGGCTATTTCTATTATGGTAAATCAAGTGATGTAGTTTCCCGATATTGGTACCATTAACCATTGTTTGTGGTTCACACCTAATCCTTGATAACTTTATTGGAAGGATTTGTAATTTACTATGTGATATTGGAGGATTGTGCACACACACATACACACACACACACACATATATTTGGTCATGAATAATTACTTGTGGCGGTGGTTTTTTTTTTTTTACATGCTTGTATTTTTGCATGTATCCACTGAAAATGAGAGTTATATTTACATTTCAATTACATAAATTCAAGAATGTTAACTTTAAAAACAAACGGCCATGATTGCTTGAATGTTCACATGAATAAATGAGCATCATATTAATAGGAATGGATTCTCTAAAATTGAGAATATTTAAATTTTATTAAATTTATCTTTTTTTTAGAGAGAGAATATTTTATGTTATATAACATAAAATAAAATGAAAAATATTGAATAAGAAAAATTATACTCCCTCCATTCTAAATTATAAGATATTTTTAGACAAAATCTCACATACCAATAAACCTCAATAAATACACTTAACTTTATTTTTTCAAAATAAAAATAAACTTTTAAAAATATCCATAATTTAATATACTAAAAAGAGAATGGACAGAAATTAACGATAGAGAGATAAAGGATAATATTAAAATTAATACATTTAATAAAACTTTAATCTATTTAAAGTGTTTTATATTTTAAAATGAAAAAACTCTTTTAAAAGTATTCTATAATTTAAAACGAAGGGAGTATATAAATTCATGAATGTCAACTCCCAACAGGATTGCCTCTAATAATAAGGATCCAAATTAATATCATTAAACACCGCTTGCATTGGAGAATGGAGTGGATAAAACAAACTGAATTTATGCTTTTGTTTTTCAAATAAATAAAAAAGTAAGTTATATAAAATAATTTACAATTTTTCTTTCACTTTAGATGAATATTTTTAATTTAAATATTATTCTCTACATTTAAAAATATAAGACATTTTTTTAGATTAGATATTAAAAAATAGAAAACATTTTTAATTTTTTTAATATATAATTAATGAATTTTTTTCTAAAAATACCCTCAATAAATGAATCGTTTAACCCTTTATTTTTAATGAGTTTCCTTAAATTAGAAATTAAAAAAAAAAAGAGCACCAAAATTTTGATCATCATAGCACCATCCTCTGATTCAACAGGAAAGCTGTATAGAAAGCAATATCACATTTAATTCAATAGAGAAGATAGAGCATATTCAGATAGGAATCAATCCAGAACAAAAAGTTGATAATACAAAAGATTAAAATAAATCAATCACCAAAAATATCACCTAAAATTATGCTAGAGAAAAACAGAGCACTACTTGGGAGAAAAAACTCCATCTTGTCGACGGAGGATAAGTAAAACAGAGCTCTCTTCCACTGAAGAAAAATAAGAGAGCACAGTAATGTTAGTCGGGGAAAAAAAATACCTCTGCATTTGATAATCGACTGGAGAAGAACAATAACATAACACTATTTGAAAAAGTTATAAATTTTAGGCAAGAAATAGGGTAGAAATTTATTCCATAATGTTATTAAGAGATTTAGATAGATTTGAAATTGAGTGTTTTCTAATTTTGATTGCGACAAAATTATTCAAACCATTGATTTAATAAAGAGCAATATTTTTTAAAGTCAGACTAGATATTAAACTGAGAAGATACATAATTCATGGTTTGTATGGTCCAAATGATCAAACTAGTGATCTAATAATTAAATTTTAAAATTATATACTTATATAATAATCTAAATTTAAGAAATAAATATAAAAGTTCTTCTTAACTTAAAAACAAAATATTTTTAAATTTATCATGACTGGACAAGCCATATGATATAACATAATATCAAATTATTAGAAAAATTAATCATTTTTTTAAAAATTTGATAAAATATTTTAAAAAAGAAAAAGGGCATTTTTTTTAACAGTTTGGTTTTTTAAAATTGAATTCAGTTTTTAATCCAAAGCAGTCCAATCCAGCCCAATTCTCCAAATAATTTTTTGGGTTTGATCGAGCCATTAACCTAACTAATTAACAATCCAATTGTTTGGTTTGATCCAATTTTTTAATCATTGATAGAGAGCCTAAATTTTGTCATGTGGGTAAAGTTACAGAATGACTTTTAGTTGCTACATTCATGGGATCCAAATTCCCAAAATAAAGTTACAGATGAAAAAATAACGTTCAATTTAAAATTAGTTGACTAACTTATTGAGGTTATAATTAAATTAAAAACGTTTTATATTTTTAATAAAATGAATAGTTTTATAATTAAAGATCAGCTATTTTTTCTATATATTTTATTTAAAAAATATTAAATTAATCATAACTGTTTTGATTACAAATTGATCATGACTATCAACTCTCAAACCAATACTTTGTTCAGTTTTTTGATTGGAACCTGTGAGTGGACGTCTAAATCCTTGAACCAATATCACAACTTTAGCATCTCACGTGATATAATAACAATTATTTATTTAATTTAATTGAAAATTTGTCAAAAATTTTGTTATATAATAATAAAAAAGCACCCAATTTTCAATTTTTAGAAGAGAAAGGCATCATTCATGTGATGAGTGTTCTAGTCACCCTGATTGTTTTGATTTTATTGAGAAAAATATATCTTGATAATTTTTAATTATTGAATAAACTCAAAAGTTATAATTATAACACTGATTGGCCAATCACCGAATTCAAATATATTCATTAATCAGTCGAATTTTTGAAATCATCAGTCATCTTTTTAACCAATTTTTCATTCTTATTTCTCTCTCCAACAGCACTCAGATTACTTTGATTCAAATGTGCTGTGCAGTGGGGGAGTGGGGGTGCATATGGATCGTTTATTTTATGAACGGTCATGATGGCTTAAATTAGCCATTGACATGAATAAATAAATGGCTACCATGTTTACGACAATGGATTCTAAGTGGCTACTATGTTAACGAGAATGGATTCTTTTAAGTCCAGGAATCTATAAATTTTATGAAATTTATTTCTCAAAAAAATTTATTTTATAAAAAAAATAAAATAAAAAGTATTTAAATGAAACTTTACAAAAATCCATGCATGACATTAGAAGATTTCTTATCTATATGTATAGATAAATCATCTCCACACAGAATATCACAGCTCACATCTCAGCTTCATCCTTTCCAAATAGTCTAAGCTCTGTTTAGACGCGTCACACAGTATCGTGCAGCCATGGCCGCGACTTTCGAGAAATTGATGCTCTTACTGCTGTTGAGCCTCCTCTTTGCATCAATTTCAAGCTTCGCGAAGGTTCCTCCAACATGCAACCGTATTGAGTGTCCTTCCTACGATGTGATTCATGTCGGGAAGGGCTTCGAAATTCGTCGCTATAATTCCACCGCGTGGACCTCCACCTCCCCCATTCCAGATATTTCTCTTGTTAACGCCACCAGAACTGGATTCCGAAGGTAAATTTCTTCCCTCGGAAGTTTTGTTAGGGATTTCTCAAGTTCTGGGCTGGTTCTTCGTATTTGGTTACTTACTGACTGAACGGTGATGTTATTTGAACTATTTGATAAGTGAATTTCATTGGAACAGTAATTGCTTCAACTTGCCACTCGTATGACCATCGTCAGTCTAAAATGACAGAAAATGAACAAATGTTGAGCAAAAGACTTGAGAATTGAACGTGAACTAGATATTTGAAGTTGTAACTGAATGGCTTTATAGGGATAATCGGAACTATTAACTTCTGAAGGTCAGTAATACTATTCGTATTTGATTAGTTCCTCTGCATAAAATGCTCCATAATCTGGTTAGAGATTTTGCAAATTGGAGATATGCATGTTTTAATTGTCGCTATTATAAACCTCTGATTGATATAAACTGTTCTCTACTCTAAGATGAGACTTTGTCAATAACAGTTCAGGGAGTATCCAAAAGCTAGACTCAACTTTACATGCAACCATTGACATCTAATATCTGTATTTGATGCTACTAACCTTTCTTTATTAGTCACACGCTGGTGGTTTATTTTGATCAAATGTCACCTAATGTTTGAATTACCTCATCTAATACTATCCCTATATAAGCTACGAACAGAAGAAATTTAGCCACCTGTCTGTAGACATGAAAAATCGAACTTTTCATGAAAGAGTCAATTGCTAGGCTCTAATCTTTTAAAGATATCAACAAATTATATATTCACTCGTGAATCCTATAACAAAGACTTAATGAGTCTTGTTCTAATTTGGTCCTAACTAAGCACTAATTAGTCAAAGTACAGAAAATCAACTCTTGATTTATAATCTTGTGCATTGTCTTCGCGTTTCCCAGGTTATTTGATTATATTCAAGGCAAGAACGACTACAAGCAAAAAATTGAGATGACAGCACCTGTGATCACTGAAGTATCACCTAGTGATGGACCATTGTGCAAGTCCTCATTCGTGGTAAGCTTCTTTGTGCCAAAGAAGAACCAAGCAAAGCCTCCTCCTGCAAGGATCTTCATGTCCAAAGATGGAAGCCTGTGTATGCAGCAGTAAGGCAGTTCAGTGGGTTTGTGAAAGATTCAAGTATTGGGGAGGAAGCAGCTTTGAAGGCCAGTATTGCTAAGTGGGCTTCTGCCATTGAAAAGAGTCACAGAGCTGGGCATGCTTCTGTTTATATTGTTGCTCAGTATAATGACCCTCTTGAGTTTGATAATAGGGTGAATGAGATTTGGTTCTTGTTTGATTTAAAGGATGCTAGCCATGTTATCTGAAGTTAATGAGAGCGGGCGAAGGCAAAGATCAATTTTTCTGTCTCTAGGTGACATATATGTATCATGTAGAGTCTTAATGAGGAGAAAGAAAAAGCTATGAGAAGACAAGGTTTTTATTGGCAAAAAATTTATATGGAAGTTTGTGTATTTTTCGAATTAGAATTGTGGAAGATTTCTAATAAATGCCTGATGAAACAAAAATTTATTTAAAAAAAAAAAACAAGAAACCAGAACGGTTTTATAAAAATAAGGGGATTCATTTATTTTTTATAAAGCATTGAAGTGCATTTTTCTCTGCTTCAATAAATGCTGGGCATCTTGTACTAATAAGTGTGACATTTTTTTTACTTAAACCATTTTTTGAAGGAAGAAAAATTTTTCTTTTGACCTGTTAACTCTACTGTTTTTTCACTCACGTGACATGTCTTTTGATTTTAATTTATTTCTGAACTTTTTTATAGAAATGTTGAGCATTTTAAAATTTTGTTAAAATAAAATTTAATAAATGTTGTTAAAATATTTCATATTTAATGAGAAAATGATCTTTAAAAAAATTAATGTTGATTAATTTTTTAAATTTTCTAGGTTATTTTCTATACTTTTTTGGGTTAACTAACGATTAAATTAACAAATATTTAGAATTGAAGTCTAACTTGTTCTTAATTAGAATTTTCATATAACGCAATATATTTTTAATTTTAAAATTAAAAAAATAAGTTACAAATTTAATAAGATAATATTATTTATTTATTTGGAAGTTTCTTTCCTTTATTTTAATATAAAGTTGCAAAATAAGTTTTAAATTTGGATGGTGCAGTATTTTTGAAGACCATT